CACTTTGGCTATGGGGGTGTGTCAGAATGTTATCTTATGCTCTAGCCTGTAGTGGGGTGCTCTATAGCGAGTACAACCCTTCTAGGGTTTGCTATTTGTATCCTCATTCTTGCTAGTGCAGCCCCCTTCTCTCTTCTAACTTTAACACTCTCTACAGCAGAATGGGATTGCTGAGCGTCGCATTCGCTTGGTCATGGAGGTTACTCGCACCTTCATGATCCATGCGGCTGCTCCCAATTTTCTGTGGTTGTTTGGGGTCCGATACGCCGCGCATCAGCTCAACCTCTGGCCCTGTGTCTGTGTGTTAGAGACCTTGCCTACACTGCGTTGGACGGGGGAGGTTGGCCATGCATCGGCGTTTCGGGTCTGGGGCGCGCTCTCCCTTGTCCGCGATACCACCGCGGGCAAGCTCTCTTCTAGCACCCTCCGCTTCGTCTTCCTTGGCTTCCCCACCGATGCCCCACCCTGGCAGTTTTACCACCCTGCCTCGCGTCGCATCTTGGCCTCACAGGACGTCACCTTTGATGAGTCAGTCTGCTTCTACCGTCTCCACTTGCACGTGTCTTCCCCACTCTATCCGCCACCCCTCTTCCTGGTCCCAGGTCCCCCCCTAGTAGACCCCCTCTCCACATAGGGTCCTGCTCCCTCAGGTGTATCTCAGGTCGACCCACCCCCCTTGGTTGAGCCTTTGGAGGTCTCCTCTGACACCTCTGGCCCAACTGAGGGGGGTGACCCTGCTGCTGACGACACGGCGACTACTCGCCGCTCCCGCGCTTGGAGACCCCTCCTGGTTTCTCGCCTTGGCCGTCTTCGCCGCCTCCGCAGCCTGTCGCTGTGGACTCTGGTGCTGCTGGGGGTGGAGACACCGAGGGTGCAGACTCTAGAGGTGCTGGTCCTGAGGTTGCTGAGTCTAGGGGTGGTGGTTCTGGGGGTGTCGGTTCTGGGGGTGCTGAGAATGGGGGTGCTGTGAGTCCTAGTTGTGGTGGAGTCGTGGGTGCTCATGCTGGAGGTGCTAGAGCTAAAGGTGCTGGAGGTACTGGAGCTACTGGTGCCAAAGATGCTGGTGCTGGAGGTACTGGAGGTACTGGAGCTGCTGGTGCTGGAGGTACTGGAGCTGCTGGTGGTGGAGGTCCTGGTGCTGGAGGTACTAGAGCTACTTGTGCTGGAGGTACTGGAGCTGCTGGTGCTGGAGGTGCTAGAGCTGGAGGTATTGGAGGTACTGGAGCTACTGGTGCTGGAGGTGCTAGAGCTGGAAGTACTAGATGTACTGGAGCTGCTGGTGCTGGAGGTGCTAGAGCTGGAGGTACAAGAGCTACTGGTGCTGGAGATGTTAGAGCTGGAGCAACTGCATGTACTGGAGCTGCTGGTGCTGGAGGTGTTAGAGCTGGAGGTGCTGGAGGTACTGGAGTTGCTGCTGCTGGAGGTGCTAGTGCTGGAGGTGCTAGAGCTGGAGGTGCTGGAGGTACTGGAGCTGCTAGTGCTGGAGGTGCTGGTGCTGGAGGTACTCGATGTACTATAGATGCTGGTACTGGAGGTGATAGAGCTGGTGGTGCTGGAGGTACTGGAACTGCAGGTGCTGGAGCTGGAGGTACGCAAGGTGCTGGAGCTGGTGGTACTGGAGGTGCTGGAGCTGCTGGCGGTACGGGCACTGCTCCACGCCGACCGTTTTTCTACCCGCAGCTGCAGTCGTCCCTGCCACCGCCTGACTCGGCTCTTCGTCAGGTTCTTTGTCTTCCGTCTTCCACTAACCTTACTCCACCTCTCCTCTGTCCTCCGCCTGACCAGTCACAATCACCGTTACTGCCTGACTCCCCACTGCCTACTCCTTCTCCTTACCCTGCGCAGATAGGCTCCCTGGCAGAGTATCGTGAGCCCGAGTCTCATCCTACCTACCCTGTTCACACTGTCAGTCATGCTCGTCGTCCTCGTCCTCCACCTATCCCCGGCATGCACACGATGACACTCTGTCCTTCCTCTGTTCCACATCGTGTTGCCCTGTCGTCTCCTCTGGCATCCTCTCTTCTTGACGTTCCCAACCCTGAGTCCGACCATGCTCGTGCTAATAGTCCTACTATCACTCGTCTCCTTGCCACTGTCGTCTCTGGCCCTTCCTTTGAGTCTACTACTGCGTCTGCCCTAGTCACTTAGTTAGTCGACTTTGCTGCTACCTGTCGTCTCGACTACGTTGCGAGTCTTGTTACTGATTTTGTCCTCTGTCCGTCTAGGGTTTTCTTTCCCTTAGAAGTGACGTCCTTGAGGACAGGCAGTCTGAGCTTGAGTGTCTTGCGGCCGCTTTACCCAATTTTGAGTCCATGCTGCTTTGGCCTGAGGGAGACTTGGATGCACTAGACATCCCCACCCCGCGCTCTAACGTAGAGGCGATCACGGGTGAGTACTCCTCTCAGTGGCAGACAGCCATGGACGCAGAGATGGCTTCCTGGAAATCCGCAGGCACCTAAATCGGCGAGTTTCCCCTTCCTAGGGCGAACATAGTCGATGACATATCGATTTTCATAGTGAAGCGGCCGCCGGGTTCTCCTTCTGCCTTCAAGGCGTGTTACGTTGCTCGAGTTTTCAGTCAGCGACAGGGACCGACTTCTTCCAGACCTTCTCCCCCACCCCGAAGATGATTACTCTTCGGGTGTTATTGCATGTTGCAGCACAGCGTGACTACGAGCTGCACTCCCTCGACTTCTCCACAGCTTTCTTGCAGGGCAGCCTTCACGAGGAGATCTGGCTACGCCGCCCACCTGGCTTCACTAGGTCGTTTCCTGAGGGTACCCAGTGGAGCCTCCGACGGCCGGTCTATGGTCTCCGCCAGGCACCCCGCAAGTGGCACGACACACTGAGGACGACGCTTGCGGCTCTTGGGTTTGCTCTTTTGACTACTAACCCGTCGCTGTTTCTGCGCACCGACCCTACTCTGCCGCCGTTCTACATCCTCGTGTATGTCGATGACTTGGTCTTTGCTACTGCCGACACTGAGGCACTGACCCTTGTGAAGGCGGAGCTGTAGAAGAGACACACTTGCACGGACCTGGGTGAGCTGCGTAGCTATCTTGGCTTGCATATCACCCAGTACAGAGCACGGTGCATCATCACTTTGACTCAGTCACACATGGTGCAGCAGGTCCTTCAGCGCTTCGGCTTTCAGTTCTCCTCGCCTCAGCGCACTCCTCTGCCTACAGGCCGCTCGCTCTCAGCTCCACCTTTGGACGAGTCTGTAGAGCCGAGTGGCCCGTGTACAAAGCTTGTGGGTTGCCTCATGTACCTGATGACGTACACACGACCTGGCCTCGCGTACCCTCTCAGCATCCTTGCTCGCTTCGTCGTGCCCGGGCGACACAGGAAGGATCACTGGACAGTTGCGCAGAGGGTATTGCGTTACTAGTGTAGTACATCGGGCATGGAGCTTGTGCTTGGAGGTACGGCTTCAGTGGTACTCACAGGACACTCGGACGCTTCTTGGGCCGATGACCAGGCGACTTAGCGGTTGTCACAGGGTTACTCTTCAGTCTCGGCTCTGGTTCTGTCTCGTGGAGGTCCACTCGTTCGTCTTCTGTGCATGGCTCTAGCTGTGAGGCCGAGATCTATGCTGGGGTCATGGCTGCACAGGAGTTACGCTGGCTGATCTACATACTGACCGACTTGGGTGAACGGCCTCGTTCTCCTCCAGTTCTGTATGTTGACAACAAGGCCACGATTGCCTTTGTGTCAGGAGCAGAGACTGGAGCACATAACGAAGCACATTTCTCTTCGTTACTTTCTTGCTCGAGAGCTGCAATAACGTGATTAGCTGCGCCTTGCTGACGTGGCCTCTCGGGCCAACACTGCCGATGTCTTCACCAAGGCCCTTGTACCTGGTGATCATCAGCATTTATGCACTGCTCTAGGCCTTGTGCCTACTATGCCTCACCTGCTGGTTGCCTGACTTTGTCTTGTACTGTGATATATACTTATACATATATATATATATGTATACCTGCATTCTTGTTCTTGTTAGGTTGTGATCACTGTACTACTTACTTTTATAACTCTGCATGTGAACAGGCCTTGTGGCTGCTTGTTTGTGCTCAGACTGCGTGGTGATCTTGAGATCCACCCTGAGCTTTGGTTTGTTTTGTTCTGTTGCTTGACTGGTCTTATGACCGTCCGCTGTGTTTGCTATCCCCCACTTTGCCTGTGGGGGTGTGTCAAATTGCATTTGTTATCTTTAGGCTCTAGTGGGGCATACTCTAAGGAGTACAACACATTAGGTCATTCCTACTACTTGTAGTCACTCTTCCCTACTAGTCAATCATTCCTACAATCTATTTCTGACAGGCCAATGACATAGTGGCAACAAAGTGGTGCTGGAAGGCTGCAAGGCTTCTTGCACCGTTGGTTGAAGCTGCGGCACGTTAGGTCTGAGCCATGCTGGCAAGCACTGATGAGATGTTTTAAAAGGCTGCTATTGACTTCGTATTTAAAATGGAGACTTGGCACACTGATAACAGCCTTTTTTTAAAATAGATATATGGAACACTGATGCATCAGGCTTTTTTCTAAGGCAACACTGATCTTTCAGGCTTTTTTTTTAAGAACACTATCAATCACGGTTTTTGCACAGGGGGGCCTTGATTGATCAGGGCACCCAAAATTGAATCTGAGGCCCTGTTCCAACCACTTGCAGTTGGTAATGTCAAGCTTCCAAATTTCATGGCAAATAGCCAACTTTTTTTTTCTGCAGGGGGTTGTTTCTTGTTTTTGTCTCTAGGGGGAGGGGGGGAGGTATTATAAAAACGAGGTCCCATGTAGGAAAAGGACATAGCAGAGCAAATACAAATGCCACACAGCATCACTACTGTAGGGGAAAAAAAATGGCGAAGATCAGCCACAATTGCTGGTGTGCTCTTATGCTAAATCTCCTCCGCATCACCTGCTGCTGTCACACCCTCTACAGTGACACACTTCGAAACCGCACCCTCCACAGTCACACAATCTGGAGCCACACTCTCTAGTCACGCCCTCTCTACAGTCACACCCTGTAGTGTCAACCCATCAAGGACCACTCTATCCCCCAGAATCCAAGTGTCCAGCCCAACATTGTCCGACTCAACAGAGGCAGCAGCAGCAGCAACCTCCTGCATGTGGCTCAGCACCGTATCCCACTCCTCTGCATCCCCTTGCACCACTTCCCCTCCTCCCTGCCTCGCATTCTCCCCTTCCTCCCCGTTCTCCCCTACCATCTTCCTGTCCTCGCCACACCCATAGTCTTCTGGACGTAGCAGCATAATCCTCTTGGGTTGACAGTTCAAAGAGCTATTCGGGAAGCTATCCGGAAACTCAAAAACATCTGCGATCAGCTCTGCCAGGTTACCCGCTCCTCCCGCGGCTGGTCCCACTCCCAGCCCATCCCTGGGCAGCAAACGCTCGTTCTCTATGCTCTCTGGCGCATCAAGGGAATTTCTGGTACGCTCTGCCAGGTTATCTGATCCTCCCGCTACCGGTGCCACTTCCGAAAAGTCCCCAAGCTGCAAACACTCTCCATCTGCCATTCTGGTCAACGCTGGAGCACCTGGAGGATCTCCGGTCAATGTTGCCAAATCTCCTGCTCCTCCCATCACCGATTCCTCCTCTTGCAGCAAACACTTTCCATATTCAATTACCGGAACTTCAGGGGCAGGAAGTGTGGAGCCAGGAAGAACTGTGCTCTCACAACTGGCAGAAGAAGGATAAGATGGCTGGGCGGCAAATGCACATACCCATGCCACTCGGCTCAGCCCACCTGCAGCTGTGGATATACTTTGGCTTGAGTCCAGAACCATCAGGCATGTGGTCCGTGCGTTTGCACTTGCACTTTTGCTTGAATCTAGAGCCATGAAGCTTGTGTTGCTTGCAGCCGCACATGCACTCTGGCTTGAGTTCAGACCCATCGAACTTGTGTTCCCTGCATTTGCACTTGCGCTTACGCATTCACTTGTATCCAAATCCATGAAGCCTCCACGTGCATACTGATCCTCATCCTCCCTTCCATCCTCCCCTCCATCATCCTCCTCCCCACTCCCCTCTGCACTCCCCTCCCCACTCTCCTCCCCAGCCTCCTCTCTATCCTCCTCCCCACCTTCCTTGTCCTGCTCCTCATTAACACTCCCTCCGGACCCTGACAGCCCATTCGATACTGCTCCTTCACTCATGCCGACGCTACAAGTCCCTTCCCATGCGGGTGCATTCTTCCTAGGACTTGAAAATCCTTCACCACCCTCACCACCATGACACATCCCACCCACATCTCCATTATAGGTCCCATCCCCATCACCATCAGCAGAATGAAATCCTCTACCTACACCCACACTTCGCTTTTGGGACCTTTTTCTCACAACCCTCTCCCTGTTGTAATCTCTCTCCCCGCTACTGCCCGCCGGCTCCTCGGGCAGAGGAAAATTCGTCTTTGCCCGGGGCCCGCGGAGGTCTCGGGCAGCCTGATCAAAAGCACGGGCGGCAGCTTCGGCAGAGGAAAATGTTCCGAGCCACTTGCGCATGTTGTTGGCTGTGTCCTCTATTTCTGCCACCCAATGGCTTGACTGCCTCTTCCTCACTCCCCGGTACTTGGGCGAAGGGGTACTAGAGGGCGGTGGGGACCTCTGCTGCTTCCGCTGCCGTTGCTGCTGCTGAGGCTGCTGCTGCTGTTGCTGCTGCTGGCGGTGCTGCTGCTGGGGCTGTTGTTGTTGCGGCTTCTGCTGCTGCTGTTGCTGGGTTTGCTGGTCTTGTGGTTGCTGCTGCAATGCAGTCTGTTCCTCCTCTGCTGGTGTTGCTGCGGCTGCTCCTGCTGCCGCTGCTGTTGCGGAGGCTGCTCCTGCTGCCGCTGCTGTTGCGGAGGCTGCTCCTGCTGCCGCTGCTGTTGCGGAGGCTGCTCCTGCTGTCGCTGCTGTTGCGGAGGCTGCTCCTGCTTCCGCTGCTGTTTCTGCTGCTGCTCCTGCTGCCGCTGCTGCTTGCGCTCTCCTTTCAGTTCCCTGGGATTGCGTAATAGGAGATCTACGACTAGGAGTGATAGCAGGTGCCTTAGAACCGCTTCCAAACGACCTGCGCCGTCGAGTACGCCTGCATTTCTCCTGCGGCCAGTCCACTGCGAACTGGATTGGATCCTGAGTTGTAATGGTGACAGGTGGCAGTGATGGTGTCAGAGTTCTTGCCACGTTGGCAGGATGGGTTAGTACCTCCGTTTCAAGTTCCTGTCCATGAATCTGACTGCGGTACCCTAAAATATGCCCTGAAACTTGCCCATCGCCGCCAAAAGTGGTGACTGAGTCGATCCCTGAATGATGATGGGACAGGAGAGTGATCGGACCTGTTTGTTGAAAACTCCGCTATCAGCCTGGCGGCAGGAATCGAGCCCGGGACCTCTGAGAGCAGGAGCAGACATGAAGCTGGAATCTGGGCTGTTGCCACGACTTGAAGCCTCAACAGGCATACTGTAAGCGGCTTGAGGTAGAGCGGCAGAAGGCTGGACGTCAAGCTGACGGTTTCCGCCGGCTTCCCTCAGCCGTTCCTCCAGAAGCGTAAGAAGATTCGCGAGCGCGACGAACGAGGCTTGTTGGAGAGCCACGTTTCCTGAATTTAAATCAGATCCGTTCTGCACACCCGCATTACTGATTTCTCCTAGCCTCACAGAAGTGATATTCGCCTGGGCGGAGGAAGATACCTCGCCGGAATGTTCGCCGCCTTTCGCTGGATGAGAAAAGGACTCCATTGGTGATTCTTTTGGATTTCGCCGCTCGCTACGGTCTCGATATGGCACTGTGTCGAAGCTTTTGAAAATGAGGAGAGGGGACATGGAGCGAGATTCCCGATGTGAATGAACACAGGGTACTACCCCTAGCAGCTTCGTTGAAGACGAGAACGATGAATGCGCCTAATGGACACTTTGGAATTGTTGCTGTATTTTCGTCTGTGCAATGGTGCCGCTTGAATTCCGTCCTACGCCTGACGCTAGAGAACGGTTTACGTTTTTGTCAACTGTTCGGTGTGCCATGATTTTTAGACGCTTCGGAAGCGTGGGCTTTTATTAAAACGAAAACAGCCAGCGTGCCTCACGATGATTCAAGTGGAAAATAGCGGTCAGAATGAGACGTAGATTCCACTTTGATTCAAGTGGAAGCAAAATCTACCATTAATGGGAAATGTGAGGAGGTTGCGGTGTGAGACTAGATTGCGCTTTGAAGAACATAAGAGCGTCCTTTCTTGCTGCGAGTCGCGCAAAGCTCGCGTTACAGTGCTTCTCGCACACCGCTCAAATAAGGGGGCATATTGTATGGCAAATTTGTTGGGCCTCTATATCTACCAGCAGTTGCTGCGTTTCAAACATCACCATTGCCGAGTGAAGAAGAAACGCGGGAAATGAGGTATGGGTCATCTGTGACGGAGAGTCAGTGATTCCCTCTCTTATTGGAGAAGGAAATCCCACGTGTTCAATGAACAATTAAGAGGAAGCTTCGTCGCCTTTCTGATTGGCTTTGAGGTGACGTCATGATTGCGTCACAAATCCTATGGCGAATGAGAGAAGCCCCTCTTGGTGTGGAGTTTCTTCTCAGCTGAAATTGTACTCACCAGCGGGTCAACTCTCCGTCCGCATCCAAGCGAACGGTGGTACGACTCTCGTCAACACTGACACGGATTGTGTAAGCAAGTGTACACGGACGATCAATGCCAGCCAACGTGCCGCCAGTGGTGCTACACTACAATACTGTACACATCAAGCTGTACAGTATTCCACATCACTTCCTGGAAGGATGGTTCTCAGGACCGAATGAATGCTTGCAAGAACCCGAGGTGCGAGTTGGAGTGTGTCCAGAACAGATGTGAAGGGTCGTTGTGGCTTGTATGTCGAGAGGGGTGCAGTTACACCCTCATTCTCGCCACACTGACAAACGCCACATGAACATACCGGCCACAATGACATCAATTCGTCCAAGATGGTCCACGAACATACCATGTAAGCACATTTGCCAGACTTAACCGTAGGCAAAAACACTTTTGCTTTTATTTACCGCTGTATACCGTTCTTTATGTGCATTTTCCCGCCACCCACCTGGGGTTTGGATCCAAGCACCAGATCGCTAGGGTCCAAGCAACAGAACGCACTGTAGCCAAGGCTCCTAACTGTGCATAGGCTGAGAATAAGGGTGTACCGTCATTGTTCACGAAACAGTGAAAGCAGACTGTGAAACTATGAGCAGAGGAATGAATTGACTAAGTCAGAGTTGGGTACAAATACAACCCTAGCAAACTGTACCCCATATGTGCTACCCCACTATAGCCTACAAACATGCATCAGCTATAATAATCTGACACACCCCCATAGGCAAAGTGGGGGAGAACAAGGGGTCACAAGACCAGTCAAGCAAAGTAAAACAAGCTCAGGGTGGATCACAAAGTCACCACACAGTCCGAGCACAAGAGCAAGGCCAGAGGCCAGTTCACATGCAGGAGTAAAGACATATATATAAAACTAGACAAGCAAGAGCAGGTATATATATGTCAAAGTACAAGTAAAGTCAAGAAGAGAGCAAGTGAGGCAAGACAGGTACAAGACCCAGCTGGGTACAAAAGCGCTGATGGTCGCAAGGCGCAAGTGCCTTGGTGAACACATCAGCAGTGTTGGCCTCAGAGGCCACGTAAGCAAGTCGCAACTGACCACGCTGCTGCAGCTCACGAGCAAGGAAGTAGCGGAGAGCAATGTGCTTCGTTCTGTGCTCCAAGCGCTGCTCTCGACACAAGGCCAACATGGCCTTGTTGTCTACGTACAGCACTGGAGGAGAACGAGGCAGCTCTCCAAGGTCAGTCAGCAGGTAGGTGAGCCAGCGAAGCTCCTGTGCAGCCATGGCCCCGGCGTAGATCTCAGCCTCACAACTGGAGCCGAGAACCGAAGACGAGCGAGTAGACCGCCACGAGACAGAGCCGGAACCAAGGCTGAAGGTGTAACCCTGTGACGACCGCTGCGTAGCCTGGTCGTCAGCCCAAGAAGCGTCTGCGTGCCCAGTAAGGACCACTGGACTCCGCCCTCCAAGCACTAGCCCCATGCCCGACGTACTGCACAGGTAGCGTAATACCCTCTTCGCTGCAGCCATGTGCTCTGGTCGGTGTCTCCCAGGAGCAACATAGCGTGCAAGGATGCTCAGAGGGTATGCAAGGTCAGGTCGAGTGCAGGTCATCAGGTACATGAGGCAGCCAACAAGCTCTGCATACGGACCACTCGACTCTACGGACTCATCCGAAGGCAGAGCTGAGAGTGAGTGGCGAGTAGGCAGAGGAGTGGCCTGAGGCGAGGAGTACGTGAAGCCGAAGCGCTGAAGGACCTGCTGCACCATGTGTGACTGAGTCAGGGTAATGGTGCGGCGTGCTCTGTCCCGAGTGATCTGCAAGCCAAGGTAGCTGCGCAGTTCACCCAGGTCTGTGCACGTGTGTCTCTTCAGCAGCTCGGACTTCACGTAGGCGAGTCCAGCAGTGTCCGCTGTGGCAAGCCCCAAGTCGTCGACGTACACGAGGATGTAGAACGGCGGCAGGGAAGTGTCGGTGCGAAGAAACAGCGACGGGTCAGCAGTAGAAGGAGCAAACCCAAGAGCCGCAAGCGTAGTCCTCAGTGTGTCGTGCCACTCACGCGGTGCCTGGCGGAGACCGTAGACTGGCCGTCGGAGGCTCCACTGGGTGCCAGGAGGGAAAGTCCCAGTGAAGCCAGGCGGACGGCGCAGCCAGATCTCCTCGTGCAGGCTACCCTGCAGGAACGCAGTGCTGAAGTCGAGAGAGTGAAGCTCGTAGTCGCGCTGAGCGGCAATGTGCAGCAGCACCCGAAGAGTGGTCATCTTCGGGGTGGGAGAGAAGGTCTGAAAGTAGTCAACTCCCTGCCGCTGACTGAAGCCACGAGCCACGTAACGCGCCTTGAAGACAGGCGGCGAGCCCGGCGGCCGCTTCACCCTGAAGATCCACATGCCACTGACGATGTTCGCCCCAGGAGGGGGAACCGCGTCAACGTAGGTGCCTGTGGACTTCCAGGAAGCCATCTCTGCATCCATAGCTGCCTGCCACTGAGAGGAGTAGGGACCCTCTACGGCCTCCGCGTAAGAACGCGGAGTCGGGATGTCTAGTGCATCCGGGTCTCCCTCAGGGGCTAGTAGTACAGACGCGAGACGAGGTGAAGCAG